TGAGTAAGTATAAAATCCGATTCTGTGAGGTCTTCGTGGCCGACGGGGGCGTGGCCGACGAGGGCACGGCCGACGAGGGCACGGCCGACGAGGGCACCCGGGTTCCTTGGACTCGGGACCATAATCCGAGTTGGCCCCTTTTCGACCGAAGGGGGCGTCTTGGCCGACGAGGGCGCCACTCTGTTGTCTTGTGCTTTCCGTTCTTCCGAGTATGTGGGTCCTGGGGCTCAGACCCATATACTCCATCACTAAGCTACATTGCAACGAGTAGTGCGTACTTCCTTATTTGATTGATGTATTTGTGGAACAAATTTAGACCTCTACAAAAACGGGTTCGGTCCGGGCTCGTGCCGGACTTTTTATAAATATTCTGTCCATCATGTGTGGGCGGACCCGGCCCGGTCCACAGTAACGGGCCTAACCCTATGTCCATATCCGCACATAAGAGCGGGCCGGGTAATCCACCGGCCCGCCCGGCCAAGGAAAATTTTAATTTTTTCAAAATTATATGATATTTTAAATACTTTAAAAATAATATTACAACATTTAAAAAATAATTAATACGCTAATAATGTTTATACTTCTTTCACCACATACAAAAAAAATACTTGCACAAAAATAATAATGATAAACTATATCTAAAATTTAAAATTTAAGCACAAAGTATTATCTTTAAGTACAAAAATAGATACTCCGTATTATATTGGTGTGGCTAGTTGTTAAGAACTAAAAATTTAAATTTAAACATAATAAATTATAAATATGTATAAAGAAAAATTAGTAAATATAAATATACATTGTATATGCAAATAAATAAATAAATTAGTATATATAAATATATATTTATATATACTAAATGTAGCGAGTCGGGCTTGGGCCAGGCCGATGGATAAATATATATGCCCAAGCCCACCCATTTGTGTGGGCGGGCTGGGCGGGTCGGGCGGGTCAGGCAGGCCGGGCCGGTTTTGTCGGTCTACGAACAATGTCATTTTGGGAGATACGCATAAGTTTTGTTTGTGTCCGCTATTGGAGGTTAAACTTTGTCCCTGAGTAATAACTTTGTACATTTTAAGAATTCATCTATCGAAGAGCACAATTTCTAGCAAAAAATGGACGAGAAAAGTTGAGTTGGTATGGAATTTCAATTCACACTAGAAATTGCACATTCGGATGTAAATCTCTTTTATATGAACGAGAACTAATGATGGCACATGCATAAATTACTGAAAAGCATATACAAACTCTTCCTATTATTTTGAGAAATAATGACTCAAATATTATTGGTAGAGTTTTAATGGACAAAAATATAATCAAAATATGTTTGGACAAAAAACTAATTTACTCCTACGTTCAACCCATCTCTCCCGTTTCTCACTTACTTCGTCACTGCATCTCTCTTGCTCCTGGTCTCTGCTGCTCTGTATATGTTCTTCATCAACACCCTAGGTCTCGAGAGCATTGAAAATCGCCACCTCTGAGTAGGAAATCGCCACAACCACGCCGCCTGATCGCCGGCGTCTACCTCTCCGTTTGACAACGTCGTTGTTCACCTGCATCGTCATCTACCTTTTTTTCCTTCTCTTTCAAACTGATTTTGGGGGTGCAATGAACATATCGGGAGAGCGGCAAACTTTTGACAACCAGATCAGCGATAAATCCGTCGTCGATGACAACCCCCTCTCTTATGATACATCCACTAGTCGGAAACTTCGAATTGGTGTGTCGGCCAGGCTTTCAACGTGGGGCGGCAGCTAAGGTTACGGCGGCGGCTAGGGTTATAGAAACGAGGTGAGCGGTGACTAGAGTTACAGGCTGGGCGACAGTTAGGTTTGGCGGCTAGGGTGCGGCGGTGTGCATTGGTCGGGCTCTAATAGCTAGGGTTGAAGGTGGCGATCGGCGATTGTGGGGGCAGGGGAGGCATTGGGCTGCTGGGGGGCTTTGGCAGGGTGCTGGAGGGGGGTTGGGGGCCACTGGTGGGTTGGGGAGGGTGCTGGAAGGGGGTGGGGCTGCTGGGGGCTGGGGTTGGAGTTGCTGGGGGCTGGGGGAGGGTGGAGGAGGGGGTGGGGGCGGTTGGGGAGGAGAGGAGGGTTGGGGGTGTGCAGATGGGGCAGGTGGGAACGGGAGTGGTATCGGTGGTCGCCGGGGGCTGTGGCCGGTGCGGTTAAGCGGTGGTCACTGGATGAAGCGGTGTGGCGGCGGTAATGGGGTGGTGTGCCTGCGGCGGTGGCCGGCGGTGCAGTGGTAGTTGCGGTGAAGGTGGTTACAGTGACACGGGCGGTGGCCAAAGTGACACAGGCGGTGGCTATAGTGACACAGGCGGTGGCTACAATGACACGGGCGGTGTCTACAGTGACACGGGCGGTGTCTACAGTGACACGGGCGGTGTCTACAGTAACATTAAAATTGTACAGTGACTTTAAAATCTGGCAATGACATTAATATGACCTTCTTAGTTATATTTTTGTCCTAATGTTAATGTGGTCACATTTTTAGAAATTGTGTTTACTTTAGTAATATTTAGGTGAAAACCCCTTATTTTGATGTCCAAATGTCAAGTAGTTTACTTGTGTTACATTTTGCATAATTTGTCTATCTTGAGTGTGTAGACATATAAAATTATTGGGCCAATTATGGTGATTGTTGAGTTCTTTTAAATGCTATCGGTCTATGTTATATCTTAATGGGCCTCGTTTAAATGCTATTGTACCGATGTTGAAATCTATTTGGCCGCTGGTAAAGGTCTTTGGGCCTTATCAAAAGAAATATATTGATATGGACCCATTGAGAAGAAATTTAGTGATTGAATTAATTTGGATTATTTAAAATATCCAGTTAATTTAGTTATAAATTGAGCTTTTAAAGAAATGGACCGGTACTATTGTTTTGAGCCCAATAATAAATAGTGGCCTAAAATATGAGAGGTATGATCTACTTGATAAAAGAGCAATGAATATGGTTACGAATATGTCCATATGCATAAAAAATAATTGTGAACCTTGTTAAAAACTGTCTAGATACATTGCATAAATGCTGATTTTTCTAATTATTAAAATGCAAGCAAATGGAGCCCGTAGCCCATTTTAATTGAGGCCAAGGGGTATGGACGAATTTGCTAAACTCTAAAGCATATTTTCACCCCCTCCACACCTATAAATAGGGGTCTCAGTTGAGAGGAATAGAGGAGAGAACTTCCAGACGAGGAAACGCTGCAGAAAAGCTCTGAAAAACTCCCGAAAGGCTCTGAACAATTTCAAAGAAGAGGAAAAGATCAAGCCACGGATTTTATTAAGAATATACGAATAATCCTTTGTGATTTTGTTCATTTTTGATAAAATAAATCCAAAAGTTGAAGAATGTTCGAAGATCCTGAAGAACGAAGTTCGAAGATTCGAATATCTGAAGAACGGTGCTTTGAAGATTCGAAGATATGAAGAACGAGTCTTCGAACATTTGAAGATATTCATATAAAGATTGAACCAAAATTCAATTGAAAATCAACCATATAACTCGGGAAGCCCTTAAACAGAACATCAAGCCATAAAATGGTCCTTTTGTTGAAGATCAAGCTACTTGAAAATCGGAGGCCCTTTAACCTGAATTCTGCATTTAAGAAGAGTTAAAGATCCGAAGAACGAAGATTCGAAGATCTGAAGAACGACCGAATTTTTGAAGGATTAAAGATTTGATTTTGAATTATATTCTTTAATTATGTTTATTTCAAATTGCAAGTGAAGAATCAGAGGATTCATATTTAGAGATAGTACCAGATATTCTAATATATTATTATGTGTGATCAATTTTAAGTAAATACTTAAAAATTGTTTCACAAATTTTTAACATGCTCGGTGGGACAACTCTACCTCTAATGTCTTCACTTTTGATCAAGGAAAACGGACCAATGGCATCCAACAAGTCCGTGTTCATTCTGAATTCTAGAGCGTCGTTAAGCTTGAGTCAAGACATGCAAGGCCCTATCACTAGGATCCGATCAAGAATCCTAGCACCACAATCATCTTCGGGAACTACTCCGAATGCAAACGATGGATTTCGAATTGTGCAAGAGATGGTCCAAAGCTTTCTTCACCTATACATGAGGTTACTTCCCCGAAGTGGAAAAGTAATGGTGAGAGCTCATCATCTGGATCAAACTATTTGCTCTCTCCCTCTTCTCTCTTCCCTATCTCTACCCATCCTCATTCGGATATTCATGAACCAAAGACTGTATCTTCTTCTCCTTTTCTTCATCCTCCTCTCTTCTCCATCCTCTTCTTCTCTACATTTTTATATCATTTTTTTCATTATTATTTGTTACTTGCATAAAATTGACATGTTTCCCTCTTTCCATCTATATTTATTATCTTTGTGTTTTTTAAATTACATTTAAATTGGTCAAACATACAACTACATTATTAATGCTGGTGTATATAGACAATTACATAATTTGTTTACCCATACAATTAAAATTGATTGAAGAAACAACTAAAATAGATCACACTGATAACTATTATCAGTGAGCAACATAATTAACTATTGTTTGAGTGATAAAATATATGTGAACACAATAAACTAAAAATGATCACATTGACCATTATCTTTGAGCAACACAACTATTCATTTTGTGGTAAAATCTCTAAAAAATTTACAATATTTGTTGAAGATAATTTAATTGTGAATCAAGTTTGTCATCTATCTTGTAATAGATTAGCTTTATTATTAATCCTTGTATTAAATATGTGCATTTATTAGATAGAATATGGGCCAAGTGTTAGGCCCATACTAAAGGCTAAAAGCCTTTCACGCCTACCTGAACCTCGCCTATAAAAAGGGAGCCGAGGATTCAGGATTAGGTTAACTTTCGTACTTATTCATAATAGCCTTAGCGCAAATCATTCTGTGTACGAGTTCACGGTATATCAAAGAGGGTTTTACATCGATTCATCTGTGTTCGTCTTTACGTTGAATCGTCTTTGTTATACTGCTATTCATTGCTGTTACAGAAACATGGACTATCAATTGGTATCAGAGCCGATCGAGAGCCGATCAGAAGAACGCCTGCAGAAGACCTCTGTTAATCTTTACGTTGTTCTTTCTGTCGATTTTTTACTCTGTAATCTTGTTTCTTGTTAAAAAGTTGTAAAAGTTACACCCTTAGAATCGTCGTTTCGAAGCGATCACGGGGTATACTTCAGATTTCGTTTTCTGCAATTTCTGTACTTGAGATATTTCGAGTAGCATATGTCGACATCTAGGTTTTAAACAGGTTCTGCCAAGTATTTCGAGCTGAAAACTTCACCTGAGGATCTCGACATCATACTCTACAAGAAACTTCCTTCAGATTTTGCTTATCTGATTTTTACAGTTTGCAGGATTTCGACATTGAGGATTTCGACATCTAAATCTCGAGATCAAGATTTCGATTTTAAGATCTCGACATCTGGTCTCGACATTTGACTTCTCGAAATAAGATTTCGAGTTTAACTTCTCGACATCTCAAATCTCGAGATCTACTTCTCGACATTTGAAATCTCGAGATTTCAAAACTCGACATCCTAATCTCGATATCCCAGATCTCGATATTCAGATCTCGACATCTGATTTTCGACATTCTGCCTCTGAAAATCTTTTGATCAATTATCTCGAACGGTCAGTTTTATACAGCAATGGCCTCAGAATTCAATGCCCAAGGGAACAACAGTACTCCTCCCAGTCTCAGGAAAGGAGAATACCAAATGTGGAGGAATCGATTCCTTAATTTCCTTGAGCACAAAGAAAACTCCGCTGCGATGCTTGAATCGTTGCTTGAAGGACCAGCTGAACTGATGATTTCAGTTGGTGGAGATCCAGAAAACAATCCACCTATTCTTCCAGAAAGGAGACGAAAAGTGGCATCTGAATATACCGAAGCTGACAGGCTCAGGCTTCGAGGTGATCTCATGGTCAAGACGTACCTCCTTCAAGCAATCCCTAACGAAGTATATGTTCTCATCGACAGCATGCAAACAGCAAAGGAAATGTGGGATGAGATAGAGAAAATGCTCCAAGGCACAAGCATTAGCCTTAAAACCAAGAAGACAACAATTCTTATTGCTTATGACTCCTTCAAAGCAGGCCAGGGAGAACCATTGAACGAGACTTACAACAGACTCGTCCAACTGGTCAATGAACTTAGAAAATCAAAGTATTCAGGTCCAACTTGGAACTGAATATAAGATTTCTATCAAGCCTGCATCCTGCATGGGAAAAGACAGTGAAGGATGTTAGATCTCGCATTGACTTGGATGAAATTGACCTCTGCACTCTTTATGAACATTTGAAGCAATTTGTCAATGAGGTTGCTTGTGCCGAGGATCATCACAGCACAAATCCTCTGGCTCTAGTGATGGAAGCTCAGCCCCGAAGGACAACCACACCACTGAAGAAGAAGAAAAGAAGGTGGTGGTTGAATCAGATGAAGATGAAAGTGATGATGACAAATCTGATCTAGAGGCTGAGCTTGCAGACTTACAGAAGAAGATGACACTGCTTTCCAAGAGATTTGCAAAAAAAAACAGCTCCTCCAACAAGCTGAGAACCTCCTCCTCAAACTACAAACAGAAGAACCATGATCAAGGATCTTCTAGGAAGGCGCCATCGGCTGAAGATGCCCCCAAATGCTACAATTGTGGAAAGGCTGGACATGTCATCAGAGACTGCCGCCTCCCAAAGAAGAAGGATGCAAACTTCTACAAGCAGAAGATGCTGTGGAATAAGCAGAAAATGCTGATGGTGCAGAAAGAAGAAGAAACTTCTGCAATGCTTGCTGAGAATGATAACTGGGAAGAAGATACTTCTGATGAGGAGGAGGAAGAAAACTCTGCCCTGATGGCACGCTTGGAGGAAGAAGATGAAAGAAAGGGTGATGTTGCGATCCCCGAAAGTGAATGCTCAACAAGCTCTGTAAGTACCTCTCATATTCCTTTAAATAATCAAAATCAGTCCTTAGTTGAGAAGGACAATCTAATTAAAGAACTAAAGGAGAGATTAGACAATAATCACAGGGTACTGAAACAGAATCTAGACCAAAAGTTGAAAGGCCCGGTTTTGAAAGTTTTGAACTTAAGATAGCTGAATTAACTAAGAAATTTGAGGATAGTGAACGAGAAAAAAGCACAGCAAAGGCTGAATGCGATTTTTTGCATAATAAGAGAAGAACACTTTTGAACAAAATAAAAGAACTAGAGGATCTAGCTGCTAAGAGAGGTCAGTCTGAACAGACAATTTTTCTTAATCGAATAAAGGATGACCGATTTTACAATCCTAGAATAGGACTGGGCATAACCAACCCATGTAATCTAAAGAAAGTAAATTGTCTTCAAATCTATAACAAATATTACATGGGACTAGGGTTTGGTGAGAAAATGTATTTTCGAAGTGATGATGAAAACGCTGAAGCAGAAGAAGAAAAGAGCAAGAACCCTAAAGCTGCGATTTCTTGTGATTATCCCTCTGTTAATGAAAAACAACTTTCACAAGAAGAATCTAGTTCCTGCTTTAGTGAGTGTCTTGACCCTTATGCAAAAGATATTCCACACATAGGACATCCTCTAGACCCACCCCCAAGTGTAGGTATCTCTAAAATTGGAGAGGAACCTTGTATTTTTCCTATGGCTCAAAAACTCAAAAACCTCCAGAAAACTCTTGATAACGAGAGAGAGAGAGATTTGAAACTGAAAAGAGAGGCTTTGAGAGCAACTGGCAGGAACTTCTTCAAAAGTTCAATGAATTAAGTGAGCAGTATCATGCTAAAACAGCCCCTTCTACTTCTAATAATAAGTCTGACAGTTCACACACCTCACCAAAGAAAACAAAGTTTTTAAAAGGTTCGTCCACTCATCTCTCTTCTCCTTTGCTTACAGGAAATGAAGTAAAGAAGGAAGGAGAAGAGAATAGTGAGTGGAGGAAGAAGAGGGAGGAAATCGCAGAAGGCAAAAAGAATGTTTTTGATAATAAAGCCAGCCCTAGATCTAGTTCTATTTTTTATTCTAAAGTTAATTGTAATTCTGTCTCTGAGAAACAAACTTCTAGTAGTTCAGTCTTGAGTCCCAAGCTGAAAATTTCTGAGACTTCTTCTAGACATCGTTCAATTCATAATTCAAATATTGCTTATGGTTATTCTGTTCCAGACCCCCATAATTATGAATGTGATGTGAATGTTGTTAAAGCAAAGCCTCACAGAAAGCTCAAACCAAAAAGGGAAACCGAGAACAGAACTTCTAAGGGAATATTTTGTATACCTGATATGAAATATGCTCTTCGAGTTCATTCAAGGAAACATCTTAATCGGCTTTCTAAAGAGGAAATTTTTAAAACCAAACTTAAGAAACAACCATTCAATCACAAAGCTCATGTCTACTCTCCTCCCAAAACTAAAACTAAAAGGTGGGTTCCCAAGATAAGACCCACCAAAACTGAAACCAAAAGATTGGTCCCCAAGATGAGACCTACCAAGCTTGAAACAGATAGGTGGGTCCCCAAACTCAGACCCACCAAAACTGAACCTGAAAGGTGGGTCACCAAGAACAGACCCACCAAGACTAAAACGGAAAGGTGGGTTCACAAAATCAGACCCACCAAAATGGAAACTGCTAAGTGGGCTCCAAAAACCAGACCCATTGCAAAAGCAGATCTGGCTATTGGAGAGTCCACAAGAGAAAGATCCTTTGTTGAAAGAGCTGCTGACCTTGGATCACAGCTAAAAGCAAGATTTAGAAAGGTGTTTTTTGTTAATAAGGAAGGACCCACTCCAAGATGGGTACCTAAACCTGTTTGATTGTTTTGCAGGACGGTCATGTGTGGCACTTAGATCCAGGATGCTCAACCCACATGACCGGAATAAAACACCTGTTGAGCAACTACACCAACTGTTACGGAGGCAATGTCAGATTCGGGAATGACGCCTCATCTCCTATTCTTGGGTATGGGGACGTCATCTGTGCCAGTGTCACTATCAAAGATGTTTCTTTTGTCAAAGGGCTCAAACACAATTTACTGAGCATAGGGCAATTCTGTGACAGCGGGATGGAAGTACGGTTCTTTGCAAAACAATGTTGTGTTCTAGACAGCATGGGGAGTACATTATTAACGTGTTACAGAACTTCAAATCTGTACACTATTGATCTGAAAAGCGTACAATCCACCACTTCCATCTGTCTGTTGTCCAAAGCTTCAACAGAACAGAACAACCTTTGGCACAGACGTCTCTCCCATCTGAATTTCAAGCATCTATCAATCCTGTCCTCCAAGAAACTTGTCAAGGGGCTTCCTCTGCTAAAGTCTTTCGCTGAAAATCATTGTAGTGCCTGCAAAATGGGCAAAATGACGCGAAGCTTCCACAAGTCAAAAACAGTACCATCATCTACACACCAGCTGCAGTTAATTCACATGGATTTGTGTGGACCTATGAGAGTCCAAAGCATCAACGGCCGCAAATACACTCTGGTGATCGTTGATGATTTCTCTAGGTACACATGGACAAAATTTCTTCGCTCTAAGGACGAGGCTGCAGAAAACATTATGACCTTTATCAGGACCATCCAGAAACTGCTACAGCACAGTGTTCGATATGTAAGAACTGACAATGGTACCGAGTTCAAAAATCAAACTCTCATTGAGTTCTATGAATCTCTCGGTATCACTCGGCAATTTGCAGCAGCTAAAACTCCCCAACAGAACGGAGTTGTTGAGAGAAAGAATAGAACCCTTGTTGAAGCAGCACGCACCATGTTAATCCAATCCAGACTGCCTCACTTCATGTGGGCAGAGGCAATCAATACTGCGTGCTTCACCCAGAACAGAACATCCATCCATAAACGCTTCGACAAGACTCCGTATGAAATTCTATTCAACAGAACTCCCGACATTTCTTTCTTCAAGGTTTTTGGCTGCAAGTGCTTCATACTGAATGATCGAACATAGAGAAGTAAGCTGGACCCCAAAGCCAGAGAAGGCGTGTTTATTGGTTACTCACTGCAGTCCAAAGCTTACAGAGTCTATCTAAGAGACAAGCGCATTGTCATCGAGAGTGTAAATGTTACATTCTATGAAATGGCAGACTTCGCAATTGAACATCTACAGGCTGATCCAACACATGTTGTACCAGTGGCTTCTGATAAAGCTGCACCAAACACAGAACACGAAGATGTGATTCTCGATTCTCTTTTTAGAAACTTCTACGTGAACTCACAATCTCCACCTCCTCCATGCA